AGTATATATTTGCAAAGAAATGGTTTCCCATACATTTTTTTTCGTTCGGTTATTGTAATTAATTGGTTCTTTGATATTTTTTCTAGTTATTTTGGTCAAGAGATGTGACCAATCAAGTACATATGAAATCGAGAATCATATTAAAAGCAGACTTAAGTCACGCGTGCGGTTCTTGGAGAAACCCTGGGACCGAGGTCTAGATAATGGAGAGCGACCTGTCATTGTGTTTTGTGTCATATCTTCACGAATTGGCACAGACATCGAGAGCGCCATGAGAGGAGTGCATGGTAAGATCTTTTTGGTGACTAATTTTTCATTTCATATACATGTTAAATCACACATCCACCTTTACCCCTGCAATAATGCAACTCACTCACCATCTTCCTTTCCACTGCAGCACGTTAAATATAGTCAATGCCATTTAATTTTTCGTGGCGTTTAACCTCGGAAAAGTCAGAGGTTCACCAGGATAGCATATTCTATGGTCGAATTGGAAATTGGAAGTTTAATTTTTATGGAGGGACGAAACGGAAAAACCCCTTGAAGCACAGGAAACAACTAAAAAGCAACTCCCCTCACAAAGGACGCCGATTCGGAGTCGAACCTGGGTCGCTAATTTTGAAAATTACCATCGCATTGCCGCCATGTATGATTCGTATATGTATATGGTAACAACATCTAAAAATTAATTTCTTCAGGTAACAGTCGTGTCATACTGGTGTTGCTGCACTGTATTATCAGCAGTTTTCTAAGAAGCGATCTGTCTGATGACGAAGAACTTCTGGATGCCACAATGAAAAACAGAATGACAGGCATCGCTCACTTTGCATTCTCTGAGCGTGAGGGAGTGTACGACTGCAAACAGAACAGAGATGGGCTCCAGAAGTTGGTTAATCTTATCAACTTTTTGAATTGAAAGGCGTGATCATAGCGTAAAATATAGAAACATCTCTTAGAATTCTCTCGGAAGCGAGAAAAACAAGAAAATATAAAAGAAATGTTACAAATTTCATTGAGAAAAAGTGTAATTTCTCTAGTATTTTCATGAAGATCTTGCATCCAAGATAATTTTGAAAGAGGTGTCAGGCAACCTTCCTAGAACTGGCTTTGATAGTTTATAAGTATCCAACTAGAAAATAATGTTCATCTTATAATATAATATAATGTGTCGGGATCGTCCTATGGAAAACAAATTGAAGGCCAGAATACATATGCACAGCAACCTTATACACCATGCACCCATCTTTTTATATCCGCCAGCTTTTAGGATGATTATACTATATAGTGGCGATAAGGTAAGGTAATCGTTTTGCATATAACTAAATAGTTCGTAGTTAGTATCTAAGGCTATTTTCAATATTAAAACAGTTATGAAACGAAGTAAGTTTGGAATATCTAGGTGATAAGTATTTTATATACCGGGGCCAGGTCGGTAGTTGCGTATTTAAGCAAGAAAATTCTAGCTCGGTTGCGACCTCATTTGCTAAGTTACGCAGAACTAGTCGGTGATAAAAGGGTTTTTTGATCCCACTCATGCAGCCAGAATTATTTAACAGCTCAGTACACCTGCTTAATCACAGCCTCGGCAAGAATCGTGTCAATTGTTAAGGTTAATGGCTGTTTTAGTGGTGGTGAAAATGATCAGTACTATTGATGAACAGAACGAATAAAAAATTCTTTGGAAAACTGAAAACAAGTAAAAAGATAGTGGTGACAATATACAATAATGTGGGAGTTTTGTAAAATTAATATTGTAGTAAAATAATATTTATAAATATTGATCTTTCAGTTTCATAGGATAAAGACAAATAAAGAAGAACAGAATGTTCAGTTATAAATCATACTCACACGGTGCACTGCGTTTTATTATTGATTTATTTTTAGTAGGGGCTAATAAGGGATGCACAACTCATTGCATTTTGAACGAGGCAGTTGTTATCTAGCTCCACACAGAGCAATTAAGTGCAACAGCGTCCATGTGTGTACATATTACAAAATTATCACAGCAGGAGAGTAGTAAGATCGAAAACGAAGACTCGTGCAAAGAAAACGATTTCGTGCTTTTCGATTTGATTTTTTCCCCTCATGGTTTTCATTACTGGGGAAATTATCTTCATCTCGAATAAAAAAAAAAATAATTGAAGGTTGTTTCCCAAGATTTTATTTCCGCGTTTCAGTTTTATATAAAATAAGGGGAGCTCCGCTTTTAGGCAGTACCTGAAGTTTATATTATTATATAATTGTTTAAAAAAAGAAGGACGTCTCTTAAAATTAAAAAATTCGAATTTAGACGTGATGAGATGAAATTATTAAGTCAAGCAAGAAGTTTGCCGCTGCTGACAAATGATCAACCAATTCACCATTTTCGCGCTAGCCATCACGTGGTATAAATTATATTGTATTATCTAACGGACACCAAAACGTTCGGGCATTGTTCTCGGATTCCCGTACTAATGTACTGGCTTTTGAGCAAGTATTATTTATTTGGGCTGTTTAACTGTTACTCTAAAAAGCAGTTAGAAAAGCGTCAATCAAGTTAGAAGAATACGTACTCAATGAGTACATGTGTCTACTGCTGATAGATACACAGCATCATTTTTGAATCATGCTTATGTAGAATATTCCATTGGCAGGTATTCAGGGCTTAATATTCTGCTTACGGAGCTCAGTTATCCCTTTAAAGGGCTCAAATATTGTCACTGTAACAATCTGAGTCAGTTTCAAATCGCATCGGTTCTGCATTAACAATCGTGTAGCACAAACACGCCAATTCAGTGGTCGTTTTTTTTTTTTTTTTTTTTTTTTTTTTTTTTTTTTTTTTTTTTTTTTTTTTTTTTTGCAATAAATTCTTTCTAGCTAGATATTGCAAATACCTGAGAGCGCTTTAATTAAACAGATAAAATTCAATACAAAAAATGGCTGCAATGACCTCGTAGATATCACTGAATCCTACCGAATCATGGTTTGAAAACGTTGGTCAAACGTTTCCCAGTCGATAAAAAGTCGTAAGCAGTCGTAAACAGGGGGATAGAGCAGCCAAGTTGACCAGCCAGTACGCGGTACTTTGGATAACATCGGCTATCCTCGCCATGCGCCGCTAGCTGTGCACGTGGAATCCGAAAGTAATCCGAAGTTTTACAACCCGTACACCGGGATGAACTTTATGTCAGTTATATCGTATGTCATTTAACTATATTTTTCGCTAGTTTATTGTCCTCCCGGATAGCAACACAGGGAGAAAATTGAAAAATAAGAACAATAAGAGGTATAACGATATCTTCCAATTGGACACAGGACTCGATAACTCCAAACGTCGCCCTCACCCGATTTACCAGGACAAGTGCACCTCACAAAACCGCCTCGGGGCGTCAAAGCCAATTCTGTAAAATGTTAAAAGTAACAAATAATAATAAAAAATAAAAAAAAATAAAAAAAGGGAACCTGAATATGACAAACATCAGGTCAATTTAACCATCAGATCCGAAGCTCGAATGTTTTAACTGGGCAACTTTGATGAGTGCCGAGTATTTGAAACGACATCTTATACCCTTTTTGTTATGTTTGTTTCTATTTCAAAGTACTAGAACTTTGAAATGGGTGCGGTCGTATTTTGATGGAGGTTTCAAACTACTGCACGTGGTACAAATAAGAAACCCTGGTTGGTCGATGAGCTTATGAATAATTAATGAGTATAAGATCATTGTTTCATAAATGAAAGTCAAAGTTAATGGCCTAAATGAACGTCAGTGCTCCTTCAGCTTGTAACTGGTCTTCCAGGAAGTGCTTCACATCCCTCTGCTTTTTTTCATTAGTGCTCTGCTTTAAGAGTATTTACTACTGAGACCGCGGATTAGAAAAAAGTCAAAACTGAAACGGAGATCCCATGGACAATAACCATCTGAGCTCCACCTGCTCCCAAAAAGTAGCACCAAATTGATTCTATTGTTTTACTTGAGCTTAATTTTGGTGAACCGAAATTGTATTTCTTTTTAATATCTGATAACAAATTATTACGAAACTCTTCGAGTTTTGTTCAAGAAAGGAATTTGATTGATAATGTTACTTTAAAATATTCTAAAATCCAAATATCCCGAGAAAACCTCTAACCATTTCTCCTTCATTCAACAACAACAACAAAAAAATTTAACTCATATGAAACCTATATTAAAAAATAAAGTGATTACGCATTCTATCCCATACCTCTGCGGCGCCCCCTTCCTTTACCTTGTCCGCTAAGAAAACCAAAAAGGGTGCAAAGTACCAACATAACCAGAAAGACAGTTTTCTCCATTTTCTTCGCTGCAATGAGTTAACTGTTATCTGTCCAAGAAAGACCCAAAAATATAAACTCATACTTTTAGATGAGATGAATACATAATACAGATTTTGAAGGAAAAAAAGATATAATGACAAAAAAGATAGGAATAACGGTAAAAATAATATTAAAACTAAGAAAAAAAATAAATAAAATAAAAACAAAAATAAAATTTCAATGACATTTTTTTGGAAATATGAAGATATTGAATTTCGAATAATCAATTTAGAGATGGTCTTGAAAGTTTTCTACAGCAAAGAAATAAAATACCTCGTAAATATCTGCACCAAATTCTTGCAATCTTGTTTTAGATTTTTCCACGCGATAAGAGAAGTGAATCAAAGCATGTCTAGGCTCGTGTATTTATACCATATCCAGCTTAGTGTTGTTGATAAATTAACCATGGCTATGGGGGGTGGGAGACAGCAGTGTTTGGTCGTGTGTTTGTGTACATGTGGGTATTGCTTAACGTATCATGATTATTATAAAGTCCTCTTGTTTGAACTGAGTTTTTTAGAATAATAAAGTTTACATATAACATGTTCTGAATCGAGTGCATGTTAAGACTTCAAAGAGTTTTGAACGGCTGCTATTAATACAACATTGATCCAACCCCTCCCCCCTCAAATGGTAATTTTACTGATCAGGATGAAAACAAGTCAACAAAATACAAGCACTGAAATTATTTGACATGGGTTGATACTAAATATACTTTATACACGTCAGTAGGGTTATTACTGATGGATTTATGCCGAAAATATTGTGTCCTAATTATGTTTTTGTCGCAGTAGAACAACGGAATTTTCTAGAGCGATTTCCGTATCTGCGAAAAACGCGGTGATCATAGCATGTACACGGTAGGACAAAATTTAAAACACGGGATTAACTAAGAAATTTCTGGGGGCGTTGCCTCTTCATTGAAATAGGAGAACTAAGAATATCTGAGTTGTGACCGAACGATTCAAAAATCAGGTTTTGGACGATTAGAATACAAATTAAAAGGGAGTTTTTGGTCATAGAAATGTTAACTGTTACAACGGTTTAAACAATTTTAGGACACAGTTTTGCCATTTATCTCGTTTCCAACGCATACAAACAAAATAACCGCTATTAATAATCTTGTTTTGGTGTCGCCAAACATTGTCTGCTACCACGTAGTATGGTTTGAGCTGCTTTCTTTGTTTACGACTTGTCATTGTCATTGAAATTGACGCTAAACGCCTAAAACATATGAATACAATACAATACTTTATTATTAATTCTCCCCGTGGGGCTTTTCAGAATTAATTTACAAACTACACATAATAATAAGTAAATAAGTAAATTCTATTTTGACTGTAGTAGCTTGTCCTATTTCTGGCCTAGTTCTGCCCTCGCAAGCATTTTAAATGATCTTAGTGTCAATGCTAAGATTGTTCCATTCTTTAGTTGCTCTGTAAAAGAAACCGCGATGGGCAGTCGCTGTTTGGCATTTTGGCACATTAGATTGGTAGATTGTAAGCGTGAGCATCGGACCGCTTCCCTATGTTACAGCAATGACATAGCAATAATAATGTTCAAATATCATAAAGGTTTATTACCTACATATTTACAGGATATATTTATTACTAGGACTAGCAAGTATATAATCTTAGGACTAAAAACAATATTCCCAGTTTCAATACTATCAGATATACATCAGAAAAAATCGATGTTATCTATGCAATACGTAGAAATTTTATATTTTTAATCTAGGTCTTTATTACGACATTTTGATAACTTTTACCAATTGACTGCTTAGAATGTTCAAAATATTTATATAGAACTTTATTATTATTATTAGTGTTCATTTAGATATTTATCTTTTTTATATCATTATTCATTTATTTATTTATTTTTAGCTATAGATTTTTATATTAAATTATTAATTTATGTTGTGTCTTCAGTTAGCTTTATAGCTAAATATTTTGTCACGCTGATAAAGTTTATTATTATTATCATCATCATCATCATTATTATTATTGTTATTATTATTATTATTATCATTAGAATGAGAAGAAGCGAATGTGTGCTAGCAGAGTCTTGGATGAGTTGAACAAGCGACTTTTACGCCATTAGTATTCACTACAACTGGAGGTATGGCAGATGAGTGTAGAAGATACCACAGTAGGCTCGCCGAACTAATTGCCAACAAGAAAGGAGAAGATTATGACACCACTGTATCCTGGATACGAGCAAAGGTTTCTTTCTCCCTTTTGAGATCAGCTCTTCTATGCCTTAGGGCCTCAAGAACTACAAGAAGAGTTCTTAGGAATATAAAGGGCATAGACTTGGATGTCTAGACTGCAAATGCAGCAATTAGCTAAATAATTAAATTCCCCATATATTTAAGTATTTGCCATTCTTTTGTAAATATATTTTTTTAACATATGTTATTAGGATTAATTT